CTTCTTATATAGTTTGAAGTGACTACCTAAGGGAGTGCTAACTGATCTCGCCTCACTATTGTTGACCCTCTGTATGATGTTTTCAACATACTCTGCCTGAGACAACTTTAGTGTTTCTGCATTTCTATTCCTGTTGATTCTCATTCCGAGTATTTTTCACGTTGGAACTAAATTCTTTATCACGAACTTACTTGATATTTGTTTCTTCAATTCCTTGATTTTTTTCATATCTGTTTCTGCAATCATCATGTCATCCACATACAAAATAAATAAAATATAGCTGTTATTGAAGTGTTTGATGAAACAATAATGGTCTGTCTGACACTTCATCTACCTATTGTTTGACATGACCTGTCAAACCTCTTGTACCACTGTCTCTGGGCCTGCTTGAAACCATATATGCTGTTCTTCAATATATAGACCAACCCTTATTTGCTTGGAAGCTGGTAACCTTGTGGTTGCAACTTATATGGCTCCTCCAACACTTTATGTAAGAAAATTATTTTTACATCAATCTGCTCCAGATGTAGATATTCTACTGGCATCATACTCATCACAACTTTGATAGTCATCATTTTTATCACTAGGGAGAAGATCTCTGTGTAATCCACTCATTTCTTCTGCCGGAAACCCTTTACAACAAGCCTTGCCATGTAGTGCTTGCTACTATCTAACTCCTCTTTTAGCCTGTAGACCCACTTGTTGTGTAGTGTTTTTTTGTCATTTTATAGTACCGTCAAATCCCAAGTCTGATTTGACTCTAAAGATTGCATTTCTTCATAATCTTCAACTTGAGTGGCATATTCAAAATACTCTCGTTCACCACTATCAGTTAACAAATAGCATGAAGGAGAATATCTGTGTATGGTCGTGTCACTTTGTTAGATCTTCTGACTTTTGTAGCAAACAACTGAGGAACTTCCAGTGCTCCTTCTAGTTAAACACTTATTCTTTCTCTATGTTTCTGTTCACTAGTACCTTCTATCTCAACATATTTGGATTCTTCAGAAGTGGCTGACGGACTATCCTGAGTTTTGACCCTGTTCGTGTATTTCTCCATTTTATTGAAAGTGACGTCCTTGTTTCTGATGAATTTCTGATTTTGATAATCTCAAAATTTTTACCCAAACTCATCTGAATCATATTTAATGAAGATACACTTGACAAATTTTGAGCCAAGCTTGCTTCTAGACTCTGTATTTACAACACATATCCAGAACACCCATTGTATTTACAACACATATCCAGAACACCCATATACTCTTAAATGAGATAGACTTTTTTTCACTTCAAACCTCTTCAGGTAGGCCTTCCTTCAAAGGTACTTAAGGACTACGGTTTATTAGATAACCTGTAGTGTTAACAGTTTAACCCAAAACTGTTTTGGCAAAGCCAGTATGCAACCTTATGCTCCTGCACGCTTCGTGATTGTTCTGTTCTTGCATTCAACTACACCCTTCCGCTGTGATGTCCTTGGGACAGTGAACTGTTTTTGACCCCCTCTGTAGCACAGAAAATTCTGAACTTCTGATCACGATACATACTCCCATTTACTGATCTGAGACACTTCAACTTCATGATTGTCCCATTTTCTGTGATAACCTTCTATTTTTTAAAGACTTCAAATACATCAGATTGCCACTTTAAGAAATAAATCCATTTATTTTTCGTGTGATCATCAATAAACGTAACAAAATAGCGAGAACCTCCAATGGATTGAATTGGAGTAGGATCTCATACGTCTGTATGCACTAACTCTAGTTTCTTTGATTTCACCACTGACCTGCTTTTAGAGAAGGAAACCTTTTCTGCTTGCTGTATATACAGTCTTCACAGAAATCCAGATCAATTGATTTCAGATCCTGAAGCTTATTCTTTGAAAGTATGGACTTTATACCATTCTCGCTCATATGGCCAAGCCTTCGGTGTCGCAGACCTGCATCCACCCTGGTTCCAGCCGCATAAATGAAATCAACAATTTCATTGATCTGATAAAGGGTGCCTTCATTATTGTCCCGAGCCATCACTATTCCCCCTGGGCGCTTTCCACGAATCACCTGTGAAATTAGTCACTAGTCCTGACTTTGCCAGCTGGTTCACAAAGATGAGATTTCTTTTCAAACTTGGAACATATCTAACTTCAGTAAGCTTCTAGATTGTTCCATTCGGTAACTTGGTATCGACGTCACCTTTTTTGTCTATATTGCATGTCTTATTATCTCACTTTGAGTGTAGTTTTTAAATACCTCTTTATTGAGGTAAGCATGTTGAATCCACTATCCAGGATTCAGTGCTAATTCGAGATAACACCAGAGAGTCATTATGAATTTCACTTTTGGAGACAATAGTAGAGAAACTACTTTCCTGTCCTCCACCACCAGCTTTTCTTGGAGCTTTGCAGTTCTTATTGAAGTATCCCTTCTTACCACAGTTCCATCATTCTCCTATGCTTGATTTGGACTTTCCTTTCTTGGACTTGGATCTACCTTTGTTAGTATTCCTGCTCGGATTTCTTTCAATGATATCAACATTCAACGCAGAAGATGAAGATTCACTATTTGGTGTTTTTTTTGTGAACTTCTTTATTCAGCATCAGACCCACGATATAATTGAAGTTCAACTTCGAAATCTCTGAAGAATTACTTACCGCCGTTGCCAAGTCATCCTAGGTTTTCGACATTAAAGATAGTATTATCAGTGCTCTGACTTCATCATCAAACTTGATCCCTACAGAGCACAACTAACTTATCTCAATGTTAAAGTTGATGAGATGTTCTGTCGCTAAACTATTTTCCACCCTCTTCATGTTGAATAACTTCATCAAAAAATCTTATTTGAAGCAGAAGGTTTTTTACACATCTTGGTCAGTACTTCCATGAGTTCCACCGTATGTTTCTCATTCACAATGTTGAACGTAACATATGATAAAAATGACAATCGAATCAAACCCAATGTCGTTTGATCCAATACTTCCCATTTTTCCATAGGATAGACTCAGGTTTTCTAGTGATTCCTTGTTGTGGCAGGTATAATTTTTTTTTTCTGATGCAACAAAACCTCCGCTTGCATCTTCCAGAATGCGATGTTCATCCGATTGTACTTCTCCACCTTGAACCTTACTTCTCTGGCCATTGCTCCCACTTAAATCGAGTCCTGCTCTGATACCAGTTGATAGGAAATCACCTAACGGATAATTCCCAACTTTACTGGTGCTTATGATCAATTAAAAACTAAACCACACCGTGAGTTAACGAGATCACACCAATTCAATAAAAAAATCAGAACAAAAATAAAAACAGAAGCACAATCAAAACAACCAGAAAAACACATGAGAATATACATGGAAAAACTCGAGAACGGGAAAAAAACTTTGGAGCCACAAAATAAAAAATTTTTATTATGAAATTTAGAAGGTTTTGCAAAGAACTCACACAAATATTCTCTCAAGACACAAAAAAAAAACTTACAGGACTCGCTCCACAATCTTTCTCTCCGTTCTGTGCAAAAAATCATGCCGAATCACTGAAATCCACCTCTTCGACGCTCCTCACCTTCATCGGATTGCTCGTGAAGAATGCAAATGAAGATACACCAAACCCTACTATAGGTCGCTTGAAATCGGGATTAAAAGCCAATTCTTGACACCAACCGCTTTTGGTGCATAAGCGCCAGAACTTGGCGCTTATGCGCCAAGCTTTCGGTAAATAGATGCCTTTATGGGCACATATGTGCTCGAAGCCGACGCATAGGCGTCAACTTCTCAGTTCGAGTAGCACCCAAGTGGGCACTTAACCACCCACAACTCGCCGCATAGGCGCAGTGTGCTATGTTTCGCTTCTAACCAAATTAGTCTCCACTCCTAACAGTGCAGATGACAGAAGATCCACCTCAAGATATTGCATTTTCTTAGTGGGTCACTTGGTCTCTTGGAAGAGCAAGAAATAATCTGTAGTAGCGATGTCAACAACAAAGACATAGTTCAAGGCCATGACCTTAGGAGTTGCCAAGATGATGTGGCTGAGAGCCTTCTGGGTCGAGCTCAAAGTGGACCAAAGAACTCAAATGAAGTTGTGGTGTGACAACAAGTCAATAATTAGCATTGCCAACAACCTAGTAGAACACGATAGAACAAACATGTGGATATTGATAGATTCTTCATCAAGGAAAAGCTGAATGATAGGCTATTGGAGCTAAGTCATGTAGCGATTGGAGAGCAAGTGGTCGTCTGCCTTACGAAAAGACTTGGTTCCTTTGATTTGTGTAGGTTATGTGACAAGATGGGCTTAGTGGATATCTTCGGCCCATCTTGAGAGAGAGTATTAAGAAGTGGACTTTATTTAGGGTCCTATTGATAAAAAGGGAATATTGAAGAAGTTTAGGGGTTTATTTGTAAAACATTGTAATACCCTATTTAAGCCTATGTTAGGAATGAATAGATTAGGTTTTCTATGATTCTTTCTTTAGTGTCCTATTTATTAACTTTGTTCATGTTCAACCCCTTATTTCATAAGATTTCTGTAATGATCAGCCTGTTTGAATTCTTTTGGTAACTAAATATTCCCGTTCGTTCAACCCCTTATTTCAAAAGCCCTAAAGTTTTTCAATATTCCCGTTTTACAAATAAACCCCTAATCTTCTTCAATAATCAGCCTGTTTGAACTCTATTTGCATCCAGAATGTTTATTTTGCTACCACTAGTTGACATATGCTGAAATACATTGGCTCTTTATCTCACAACTTAATAATGGGGATCTTAGTTCCGGTATGAACATGTTGAATGCTTTTGCAAGAAGCAACATGCAACACAAAGACATGAAAGGATTTAAACCTCGGTTAGGCCCCCAAGGAATCTTACACTTGTTGTTCATGTAGAAATATTGCGTGATTAAACCTACATTTTTTATTTTATATCCAGCCTCGTTTTTGGGTAAAAAATCTCCCCCTTTTATTTTTCAAAATTTTACCTTTTGACTAACTTCCTGGTGGAATGTTGTTGATAGATGGGTTGAGGGTATGGTTCCCGTATTTTCCAGGTCTGCATGGCGATGTGTGTGGCATCTTATCCAGGTTAACTTCCTAATTCCTATTCCTTCTCTTTTAGATATTGAACATATATATATATATATATATATATATATATATATACAAATAAAATGTATATTAATATTCCAATGAAATGGTTATTAGATTTAATATTATGATGTATATAGTTTTATAACTGCTTGTTCTTGTTGACCTTTTGTCTCTTTTCTCTGTCATTTGTAACGTCTTTCAGTATAATATACAATCATGAATGTTTTTTCTTTTAGGTAGCGAAGAGGATATATATTCTCGTTTTAGTTTGGGCATTTAAAATATTGAAGCTTCTTTGATATTTATTTATGCTGTTTGAATTTGAGAGTTGAATTAATGGTAAATAATTGGTGATAGTCATGTTGAGCATGATAAAAATGCAAATTTAAAATGGTTATTTAGCAAAATTTGGAGGATATTCTTAGGATTGATTATATTTTAGGGGTGATTAGAGTTAGAATTTTTTTAATATTAGACGTGAAAAATGGGTCTTAAGTGATTTTGGCTTGTTAAATAAAGTGCCAGAAGAAGCGCCGAAAAGACAAGTAGGTAAAATTAATGAAGGGTGCGAGCAAAAGGTTGAAATGGATGCAAGTTTATAGAACTTTTTTCTTTTTTTCTTTTTTTTCTTATGTGTTTTTTGGAGTTGGGTAGAAGTTAAGCAAAAGGATTTGTACAAAACAAGTTTTAATACTTCATTACTTTGCATGAAAGAATCGAGAAAGATGTCTATAAAATCAACTCAACTAGCGTTGACAAGCTTATTCATTATGAATAATGTTTTTATTGTTTAATCTTTATGTACTTTTAGTATATAATGATGTGATGTACTTATCTCTTTGACTATGAATTTTGATTAGGAGAGTCGTTTTTTTTCTTTTATCTCTCAACATTCTGTTCTTGTAGATCTTAACTTTATTAATTTATTATCAATCGTCAATATTTCTATTTTCCTTGTGCTATGCCCGTTGACTACAATTAATATGCGCTTTTTTGAAATAAATTTTAAAAACAATGGTCCATCGTTAGAATTTCTGCACTGAGTTATGCTAATCATGTAAAAATCAATTGCTTCATGCCTCCTATTTGATTTAGTCTATGATGGATCTTTATGTCAACTAATATGTTGATGAACTGAGGCTTTTGTAGCAAAATTTAGATTACATTTAGTGCAAATTTTTAAGCATTTAGAGCTTCTTTTTCTTGTAGAAATCTTCACAATTCAATCTACTAGAGAATTACCTATATTGCTGTGTTTAACGACACGTCATTTGGTTGGCCTGTGCCTCTGAAAATTATGCAGAATGACCTGATACATGGTTGGGGTTTGGACATGAAACTTGGATATTGCGCTCAGGTGTGCATCTTGAATTCAATTACATTTTAACCCAATATGGTTGACTTTTCTACTTTTTGTTTGTATCGTTCCATAAATGGAAGTCTTATATTCTAACATTGACCTGATAATTTCTCTGTCTTGCTAGGGTTTATGAAATATAAAAGACATTTGCATTTCTTGTTGTATCATCTGCCTTTTTTTTATTTGCTTTGGTTAGCAGATTTCCATATTCTTATATTTGATGGGGGTCTCATTTAATTTACTTAGCTAACTTTTTTTTTATTTCCAATGTATATAGTTGTTATTTGAGGTACACTCATTGCACTTTATATAGGAAGTGGCTAATGACTACTTTGTCTAATTCGAGGATGAATTGCTCCAAGGACTTAGAATTTGACTGTGTTTTTGTTGTGTCCTGTCTTTTTTTTTAAGTAATAGCTAGATCTGTGGTTTTTAAATAATGCTTATTAGCCTCTTTTAGAAATAAATTTATTTTTTAGTTCTGTATTTTTTCTTCTTACTAATTTTCCCTTTAATGTGGTTATTTTTCGTTAACATATGGTTATTTGATTATTATAAAATTGTATTTGGTTTCATAAGCTTGAGATAATCATGTAAGGTGGAATATCAAAGATAAATTTTTGATAAAATTTGAAAAATAAACTGTGATAGGATTGAAAAACAACACAAGTCAAAAGATTAAAAAACAATTAATGGTAAATCATAGGAAATCAGGTTAATTTCCCGAAAGTATAAAATAGATTTCTAGAGATTGAACCGTAAATGATACCAAGGATTTTTTTTCCATAAACAAAATATTTGTTTTTAATTTTTATTGTTTTTAAATACTTGTTGCTTGGCGTAATGCATGACCAAAAATTTTAAGTATGCTACATGCTTCTCACAAGAACTTTGAAATGCAGGTGGATAAAGAAAGTACCGCGCATTCTAATTATGCTATTTTGCATTAGATATATGGAAGTTTAAATGTTTCAGACTTTGTTTTGCACATTTGTTTACCTTGTTGCTCAACTGAAGGCAACGACCTGGAGATCTTACCCACATACATATCGAAGTTGCTGTCTCTGCCACCACTTTACAATCACATTTTTAAAATGCTGCAATCACTTCAAGCAGACCCTTAGTCATGCTTGAGTTTATGGTACTTCTTCGTTTATTTGAACCAAAATCAACTTAGTTCTTAGACACCATTAGACCCCTTGACTAAATAGGACTCAAGCTTATTCTTGTGTGGCATAATTAGTTTAAAGGTGATTTAGCCCATTTGATTTGAGCTAGTGAGCTTGGTGAACCTAGTCAAATTTAATAAACTGTTGCTCTGTCTCTTAAGATAGATTTAACCTTAGTTGAACTTAGACATCAAAATACCTATGTGGGCTGCTCAAAGTTAATTAAACATCAAAATACCTAGGCCTAGTCATGCTTTAGTTTATGGTGCTCCTTTGTTTATTTGAACCAAAATCAACTTAGTTCATAGACTCCATTCGATCCCTTCACTTTAAATAGGACTTGAGCTTAGTCTTGTGCGGCTCAATTAGTTTTTGCGGTCATTTAGCCTATCTGATTTGAGCTAATAAGCTTAGTGAACTGTCAGTTAAATTTTTTAAAGTTTAAAATAATTTTTGAAATTTAATTTAATATAAAAGGTATATAATTTGGGTTTTGAAAGTATGTTTTAATTTTAAAAAAATGAGACTAAAAGGCTCTCATTCGTTCAATAATTTATATAATCGTATCTGATAACATGAATATTACACATTTCCGAAAGATTAGTCTATATCTTGGCGATAGACCCAATCTTGCAAACAAAGAGATTTTTGACATCCGTTTGATCTCGAACCTTTTATGTGTGACTGACAAGTTCCCCTTATCTAATACAAAGATTAAATAGGGTCTATTTTATTTGGGTTTCAAGTTCCCTATAGAGGCAAGCCCCTGTAGTTAATTACATCACAAATGACTGCGATCACTTGAGAAAACTCTCGATAATGATCAGAGGTACTAGTCTTCAAGATTTTCAGGTTTAGATTTTTACGGTAGGACGTGAAAAAGTAAGTGAAAGTGGCTCAAATATGAATAATTATTTTTTGGAGTCCAAAGAAAGGAAAAGTTAGGATGTCATAGATCCCGAGGAGAAACCTCAATGATCTCCTAAACTATCATAATGTGTGACTGAGTTTTGGAGACAATATTATTTAGGTGTTTAATCTTGTCAATTTTATTATTTGGGACTTATATTTGCATAATATTCGACTATGCAAATAACGTGCAGAGATAAGAGAGTTTACGTCGTGCTACACGACAACCTCAGAACCTAATACGAGTTAGACTTTACGCTGCACAATATGATTGTGCAGAAGCCTAAAGAGGGTGTGAGGATTTACGTCGGGTTGGGTGAGCTACCTCAAAGTTCTATTGGTTATTATTTAGACTAAGGAGAGAGATGTCGGCGCTTAAAAGGAGAAAGTTATGTTTGGGGGTCTCCCGTAAGAAGCTGTCGGTCGCCGGAATCGAAATCCCGTCACCCGCTTCGGAAGGACTTTTTAATTTACGTATATATATATATGATTTTAGAAAAATATGAAATCAAACTGACCTCATATTTTTCACAGTTTAAATGAAAGAGCGCTCTACCTCAAATCCTGTATTTATCCCGAGGGATAAACACAAGACTTGAGGATGAGACTCAATCAAATAAACTA